AAGAGAGACCTTCTGCCTCTGTCTCCTGAGTGGTGGGATTAAAGGTGTGAACCACAACTGCCTGGCCTCTATGGCTGACTGGCATGACTAACTTTGCTCTCAGGCAAGCTTTGTTTGTTAGATCATAAACAAAATATCACCACAACACTAGGCATAATAACTGTAGACTACATCTCTATTTTGGTTGATATCCCTGGGAGATCTGCTCTTTCCGGAAGGGTAATAGAGGAGGAGTTAGCCTTGGGGAGATAGGAGTTGAAGTGTTCGTAGAAGGAATGGAGGGAGAGGAAACCGTGGTCAGGATGTAGTATGAGAGATGAATAAAAAATAGAGTACATGAGATTGGTGGGCAGAGTGTTGGTAGCGATATGGGAAAAGGCAGAGGGAAGTTAGTGAGGGAAGGGTCTGATCAATATGAATTATATTTACATTTATGAAATCCTCAAACAATAAATAAAAACCAAAAATATCCTTCTGTTACATTCAGATATATGGATGAATTTCAAAAAAGTGTATTGTGATGAAAGAAAAAAAATAGCTAAGGACATCTCTGTATCTTCAGAACTTTCTGTCCACCAGCTTCCTGTCTCATAATGTCTGCCCACAAACTCCAGTGGTATTGATTTCTTTTCTCTTGATCTCACTAGACTCCTGGGTCATTGTATTCCCCACTGATAGCTCTATAGTCTAACAAATGTTTCTAGACAAACTGCTTCAACCAAAGAGTCTAATTGTTCATTCCTTTATTCAAGAATTAGAGTCTTGCCTTTTGTCTAGTTACTGAACTATTTGATCCAATTTTCTGGTATTTTTGATCAGAGAAAAAATTTCATAGCAACCAAACCTTCATAGTGAAAATGAAAGTTCTTGAAAATTGTCTTAAGATAATTATTTATTTTTTATTTTTATAATTTAACTTTTATGTGCATTGGTATAAAACCCCCTGAAACTGGAGTTACAGACAGTTGTAAGTTGCCATGTGGGTGATGGGAATTGAACCTAGATCCATCTGGAAGAGCAGCCAATGCACTTAACTGCTGATCCATCTCTCCAGCCCCTTAAGAGATTTATTAACAATAATTAAGAGTAACTTCTTACATCTTTGTCCTTTGTTAAGGGTATCTATGAATTGTAGTCAAATTGTATTATATGCCACACCATACTGTAATTTACCTCTTTAAATAGTGTGATTATTAATAGAGGCTGTTCTTAATTTTCTTTATAATTAAAGACAGGAGATGGGCATGCATTGTATAAACATTAGGTAATTCTAAATTAATTTTCCAACATATTGGATTGCATTATGTGACTCATGGATACAGTGGAATTATATTTTAGTTATATAAACATATCAATAAATTTTTTCCTTCCGAAACTCTGCCAGAAGCAGGAGGGCCCACTGCCCTTAATGATATTCATCAATGTTAAAATTAAACCTTAATTAAAATAATATTATTTAAATTACTTAGTGTTTGCTCAGCATGAACCGTAAGTTTATAGGGATGTTTATAGGGTTCTGAAATATTTTCAGTGGTACATTATAAATTCAGAATTATTTTGAATCACAGTAATAATCAAGAAATGACCATATATTATAATTGAATCAATTTTCACCCAAATCTTTCATTTTGAAAATGCTTGTTCCTTTCCCCTTCTCCGGGGGACCATGCATGTCTCTGTTAGGGTCCTTCTTGTTTCCTAGCTTCTCTGCTGGTGTGGATTGTAGGCTGGTACTCCTTTGCTCTATGTCTAAAATACATATATGAGGAGCATGGGAAAGGGACAGGGAGCTAGAAGAAAAAGAGGGGAAGAGAAGGGGAGAAGAGGACATGAGAGAGCAGGAAGATTTAGTCAGGGGAAGAATTGAGGAGAGCAAGAAAAGAGATAACACAATAGAGGGAGCCATTATATGTTTAAAGAGAATTCGGGCACTAGGGAAATGTCCAGAGATCTATGGGTCTGATCTCAACTAACAATCTAAGCAGTGGTTGAGAGGCTACCTAAATGCCCTTCTTCGATATGCCATCCTAGAACCTTCATCCTGTAGCTGATGGAAGCAAAAGCAGACACCCATAGCTAAACACTGAGCTGAACTCTGGAATCCAGTTGCAGAGAGGGAGGAGTGTAGAGCAAAGGGGTCAGGACCATACTGGAGAAACCCACAGGGACAGCTGATCTGAACAAGGTGTTTCTCATGGACCCCAGACTGATAGCTGGGAAATCAGCATAAGACCCAACCAGGCCCCCTGAATGTGTGCATCAGTTGGGAGGCATGGGCAGTCTATAAATACTGATCCACTACCAGAGGCTGTGGATCTCTGCTCCTGCTTCCATCAGCTACTGGATGAAGGCTCTTGGATAGCATTTAAGGTAGTCATCAACTCATCATAGGAGAAGTGCATTTAAGATAGCCTCTTCACTATTGCTTAGATTCTTAGTTGGTGTCATCCTTGTGGATCTCTGGACATTTCCCTAGTGCCAGATTTCTCTTTAAAACCTATAATAATCTTCCTGATCCCTCATGTTCTCCTCCCCCTCCTCTTCTCCCCCCTCTTTCTCCTCCCTCCCTCCCCTTCCCCCTCCCCCTGTGATATTCTTGTATTTATTTTTTTGAATATCCATTATCTATATAAAAGTCCAGAGAAGTTTTACAGTAAAGAAATCTGTTTAGTTTTAACTCAACAATTTTCATTTATTTGTCTCTGACTCTACCCACAAAACTTAAAATGCTTGAGACAATAGTTTCCCAATAACAGCATTGGAATTACTGCCCTGATTATGGTGATATATATTGTTTAGCTCCATGAGTGGTTATATCTGGGGGCACAGAGTAAAAAGAATGCTAAAGAAAATGTAGTGGAGAATATGGAAATGTTTCTTACAAAATATAAGTTCCACATGAAGCGAATTAGTAATTTTCAGGTAGAAGATTTCAGAGTCAGCTCTTTCTCTTTAAAATTAGAGCAGTTTATGGTGATATATATGAAGGCATACTTCATAAAGCATGTTGGACAATATGTAAATAAATTTTGCTGAACAAATGTTTGATGATAAAAGTGAAAATTAATAAAAAACATGTGGGATAAATTGCTTTTGAAATATGCCTGTGTGTAAAATTTTAGAAATGGCTTAAAATAAGCTTTGACCAGATGTGTTTTGGATTTTACTAAGCTTAAATATTAAAAAGTACAGGATGTGTATGATTGTCATGAAGAAGTCATCCATCTAACTTAAAGTCCCAGAAAAGAGAAAATGAACATTTTCATGGTGAAGGTTCTAACAGGCCTTAATATGCTACAGAATAACATCTTTGAAGTCATTGAAATTTACCCACTGTCCTTCTGACTATCCTATAAGAATTTCCTGAAATTTCAAGTTGGAACACTAATCTTCTAGAATTATGGATATTCAAATTTGTTTCTTATTTATTTTTGGTGACAAACAAATGGCTATGTGTCATTAAAACATTGTTTCTACTAGACATTTCTAATTTTAATTCTCTGATATTTGGTATTAGCACACAGCTCTATAAGGTATTTACTCAGTTAAAACAATAATCAGTAATGTCAGCAGGTCTCTGGAAACAGTTTCTTAACTTGTGTTTACTCTGCTGTGTTCAAAGCAGCAGAGCAGAAAACACAGTTCTGTAAAATTGCTTGGGTTTGCCTTTCTATAATACTGACGTTATGATAATTTTAATAAAGCAATAAGAGTAATAGCAAATTTTCTAGACTTGATTAGTTTTGAATTGTATTGTTTTAAGTTATCTCTAAATTATACAAAAGAAGAAATATCAAATTTGATAAAAATACTAAAAGATGAACATTTGGAACACATGGTTGGTGAATGGTTTGGTATTAGTGTTTTGTAATATTGAAATATATTTTTCCAAGTAGGGGTTTTCAATAAAGAAGAAATATAGATGATCACATAGCAGATACATCTAGGCTTTAAGACTGTAAGAAATGTTTGAAATATTACTTAAGAGAAAAGGCTCCACTTGTGAATACAGACTGACTTACTACAATGGTAATGTTCAATATGTTTTGTATTATGATACTTCCAAAGACAGACTATAATTTAATGTATAACTCATCACTTAAAATATTTTCAATAATTATTTGAGAATTTCCTAATGTATTTTGATCATATTTATCCACAACTCCTCCCCTAACTCCTCCCAGATCCACCTCCCACCTTCCTATTCCAACTTAAATAACCCATTGAATTCAACTTGTCCTGCACATATGTTTCTGAGTGTGGAACCACACTTTTAAAGAAAATGATTCTTCCCTAGAAGCCATCAACTGACAGTATCTCCTCAGGGGTGGGGGTTCATGAACTAGAATGTTGACTGGTTTGAGCTTGTGTAGGTCTTGTACAGAGAACTCACTGCTGTGAGTTCATGAGTGCAACATCCTGTCATGCCTGGGAGACACTATTTCACTCTGGTCATCCTTGACCTCTGCCCCCTCTTCCATGATAGTCCCTAAGCCTTGGGAGTGGAGTATCATATAGATGTCCCTGAGCACTCCACAGCTATTTATTCTTTTGGGTGCCAGAAACCAAAACAAGCTAGTTGTTCATTTGCTATCTAAACACAAGAAGTCAATATTTGCTTGGAGCCTTATATTTTATCAGAATAAAAAATTACAAGTAAAACAATGAAGGCCCTTCACAGTCATTCTTGGCATACTTTCGGCTACCGATTCTTATAGAAAAATTCCTGCTCTGAAGTTGGGATCAAATGTACTCACTTTCCAAGCTTTATTTAGATATAAGTACAAATTATATGTATTTAAGTAGACAAAATGATATTTGATCTATAGAAATGGCTACAATAACCGATCTAACCAATCACTTCACAGCAATCATAAACTATTCATATTCATGATGAAGAAAGGAACTATAGCAGGTCCAGTTAGACTAAGAGTGCTCTTTGTATGCCCTGGTACCAAATTTATCCTTTGCTTCAGTGTTATATGTTAGTGTCAAAGCTAACCTCTTGTCTTATTTTTTTCCTTTTCTCTTCTAGATCAACTAATCACAAATGGAATTTCAAGGAAAATTCAAAGTACTCACCTTGAAAGGCTTTATCATCCTAAGAAGTTTGTACTTCATCCTGACAGCAAATAAATGATGAATGAGACATTTCTAGTTGCAATATGAAGAATGGAGTGAACAGAGTAATTCTGGAGGTATTGACTCAACTTAGGTACATAGGTGAGAGGTGAAAATAACTTGAATTAGGGTAGATATTAGCAATAGTGAGAAGTAGAAATATTTACGGGACAGAAGAATTGGGACTTTATGACTAATTCACTACATGAGGAGCAGGAATTAAGGCTGATAGACAGATGAGAACCAGGGGAAAGAGATATGCAGTAGTGCTTACATGAGGTACGAGGATTGAGAATATAAAGGGGAAGTGCCAGCCAGTTCATAAGAATGGGCAGTCTCACCACACTTTTGTAGGTTCATGTGGTAAGAAATCCTGAGTTCATGTAGATTTAGTTTAACACCCAAAGCAAAGTAGGCTTCATGGTCTTTGTGTTTTTATGGGTTCCCAAGACCTGTGATGCAGAGTTAGGCACATTTAGATGATGTGCTCAGAACCTGTGTACTTCTTACTTCCTAAGAGGTTACTAGCAAATTTATGTAACCTTATTCTGGCAGGTGACATAGTCTTTGAGCCCTACTCTGGAATAAATGTATCCTTCCCATAGGGATGCCTTCTCTGAGACACACAGCAACACCAAATAAATATTTTCTGTGGATACTAAATTTTGATAATCATATTCAGTATGGTTTATAGAAGTTAGATAAAAGTAAAATCTATTAACTTTGGATATGTTAAATGACACCATGACATTTTTGAGATAGTTAAGGCAATATTAGTGTATGAGAGTCAATACTTGATTCATTACAGACTGAGTCTGTCTAGGTTTCCTCTACCATTCTAATGAGATCTAATAATCTGCCAGTGTTCCAAAGGATCCAATACAAGAAACAGAAAAGAGTGTGGTGAGATGATATGTACAACATACTAGAAACTGACTTTACAACTGTGACTTCTGTCTGTGTTAATTTCCAATAGGAATAAAATACAAGTGACAAATGTGAGTCACGTATATAAATAGAAACATTCTAGAATTCATGTCTTAAGAAAGTAAAGAGAAATAGGTGAAATAAATTTTTAATAATATACCTTTATTTAGCCCAATATGTAAAAATGTTCTTTTTAACACACATTTGACATAAATACTTTGTGCTTTTTTATTTTAAATTTTGAAATACAATATGTATCACATTCTTGTAAGAAGTTCTCATTTGGATCAGATACATTATAAGCACTCAATAGCCTTTTGTGTGTATGGAATACCATATTGAACAGAGCAAATCTAGACTTCAAGAAGAGCAAATTATATTTCATTATACTTGTGAAATATGTTTGTTTTGGGTCTCAAAAGACTAAACATTATAACATATTTTATCATGTACAATCTAAGTTTTTAAAATATCTTATCAACTGAGTATTTCCTACATATTTTGATCATACTCTTTCATACTCTTCGTGCTAACTCTCTCCAGACTCACTTCCACTTCTCAATTTACTTGCAGTCCTTTTGCTGCCTTTTCTGTAATGGTCCTGGAGACCGTAGGTGTCTGGTTTGTGCCTGAGCACCCACTGATACCTATTCTCCACACTTTGACCTGTTGTGAGTCTCTGTGTCAATCACCATCCATTGCACAAAGAAACATCTCGTATGAAGTCTGAGGGTTGCGCTAATTTATGGGTATGGAGATGCAAATTTAGAGATTAGCTTGATACTGTGTCCATTTAGTGGAATAATATTAGTTCACCCCTGAAGCCTGTGGGCTCCCTTAACCATGTGTTTTTGGTCAGGTTAACAGTACCAAGCATGTATTATTTTCTAGTGGGGCTGGCCATAAATACTATCAGAAGACAGTTAGCTACTTTCATAATATTCATGCTACTATTTAACTCATGGACTTGTCTAGACTTCAAGAACAGGAACTTTTATTTTAGTATAGCTGTGGAATATGTTTGTTCTGCGTGTTAAAAGACACACAAAATTCCAATTAAATTAAATTTTAAAACCAATCTAATGTTAAAGACAGCTAACACTACAATGAAAATAACAAACAACTACATTATTTATATAATACCCCTCAAGGAGTGTATTTTACTTAAAATCAGATATACATTGCAGTACCTATAGAAAGAACCTTGGGGAGTGAACTGACTTACGGGATCTGTCATTGGTAAGACAGTCTAGAATTTCATTAAGCAGATTAGGCAGCCAAGACTGTGAAAATATGTTAGTCCAATGTACATACTTTACCTTTAAGAAAAATATTATGTATTAGAAGAATTGTGACTTTTTACTCTCTAATTTGTATATATTCATTGTACAAAATAATAGGTTTTATGACATTAAAATACATGTATGTCATGTACTTTGTCTCCCCTCAATGACCTCCATTATTCATTCTGCTCCTTATTATTGGTCTTCTTTCTCTTTCTCCTTTATACTTTTTATTATAAAAATATATATTCCACATATTAAAAAATTTAATATTTGTCTTTCTGAGTCTGGCTCATTTCATTCAACATGATGATCTCTAGTCCTATCCACTTCCCTATAAGTATCACAACTTTATTCTTATTTAGTGTTGAAAAAATTCCATTGTGTATGGATTTGTTTTATTTACTGATTTATCTATTGATCTAGACTTGGCTTATCACTTGTAAACAGTACCACAACAAACACAAGTGTACAGATATCTTAGTGAAATGCTGAATTCCCATCAAGTATATACCATAGAGTGGTATAGCTGGATCAAATGGTTATTCTATTTTTAGATTTTTGAGGACCTTGATACTGATTTCCATATTGGCTTCTCTAATTATATCCCCACCAATAATATATAATTCCTTCCAATCTCTCTCTCTCTCTCTCTCTCTCTGTGTGTGTGTGTGTGTGTGTGGGGCCCTCAATCATTTTCTGTTTGGTTTTTGTTTTGTTTTGTTTTAATCAGAGTCTCTTACTGAACCTAGAGTGTGGGGAACAGATGAAGACCTGAGTGACTGTGTATTGTTGAAAAAAAGCTGGCCAGTATCAAAGCAAATGCTGCCCCGGGTCAGGCTCAGAACAATTACAGTCTTTCTTGTATCAGAGTCGAGATGTTTATAAATGGTTTATTCTTTGCTAAAACCAGTGTATGTTCCTGGATGTCTGCAACCTGAAACTGCTTCTCTCCAGAGACGTCCTACCTAGATTAGCTAACCTGGTCTTTCCTCCTTTGTGTTATATATCATAAACAAAGGAAGATTTTAGGGTTGCTACTGGTGTGTCTTCAGCAGAAAACATGGCCCACCTGATCCCAGCTTTTTGTACTTGAGTCTGGAGTTTTGTCATTTCCCTATCACTTCATTTTGCAGAATAGGAGCTCATTGATTTTGTTAGGCTGCCTGTCCAATGAGCTTCAGGGATCTTACTGTCTTGAGCCCTCCTAGTGCTGGGGTTGTGTCAGGCTTTTATATTAGAAGCTGGGACCTCATACTCAGGCCATGGTGCTTACAAAGTAACAGGCCCTTTATTGATTGAGCCATTTTTCCAGCAGAAAGTGTTCCTTTCCTCTGGAGTCCTCCCCAGAATTTGTTGTTCATTTCGTACAGAATGAGACAGCTCATCATTGTGTCTTGTGAACATTTAGTATTCAGTATTCTGACAAATGCTTTGGATCTGAAGTATGGAAGCATCTCAAAAAATCTAAAAAACCAAACCAAAACAAAAAACCCAACCTCCCAAACCAAGTAATTTAATGAAAAACAGACATTCTGGGGAAAAGTTAGCTACCATGTGAGTAATCAATATGGTTATTAAAAATTGTATGCTTTTGAAGGTCTGAAGAATGCTAGAGGTTTTAGAAAAGGACAAATTAAGTAGCTTAAGAAACTTAAGACCTTATCAAATACATAGTAAAAACATACTGAGTTTGTTTTCAGAAAACTGTAAGTCCTAGAAATTGCTAAGTGTTTTGGTGAGAAGACCTTTGGCACCCATTGATGAAATGCAGCCACACTGGATTATGTATTACAGAATGACTCACTGGTGAAAGTGAGTTTCTATGCTGAATGTGTTAAGCACTTGATTACCTGTAAAGCCTGTGGCAGCACACTTGATTACCTGCAAAGCCTGTGGCAGCCTCTTTGATGTTGATTATTATCTGTGATTGTTGAGGGCTTTTTGTTCATTTTTTCTTTAAGAAAACTTAATTGAGAAAACAAATGGTGAGTATTCTAATTAAGAGTGTCTAAGAGTGTGTTCCATACAAGCAGACAAATGATTATGCTTCTTATTTGCTGGGTGTTTTTATTTAGGAGCAAACAGTTTTGAATGTTGGGTTGATTTCTGCAGCACTGTTTCTGAGTGTATGTGTGCTTTATGGAATAGAATAGAATAGAATAGAATAGAATAGAATAGAATAGAATAGAATAGAATAGGAAAGTGCAAAGCACGAGTGTGGGTAATGTCAGCTTTGCTTCTAGGACCAGGCCTCTGTGTTTTAGGAAGTTTGTCGTTCTACCACATGATAATCTAAGGGTTAATGACTTGTGTCTGATTTAAATGTCTAGAAATGATACCCATTGTCATTGAAAAGTTTACTTGAGAATGAAAATGCATCGTGTTTAGGAATTTGGGGAAGCATCGTTATCTCATTGTAATCAGAGAGGGACTCCCTGTTCTTGAAAGGCCCGGAAAGCCAGCTCTTAGGCACAGTGATTGCCAGGCCCTTATTGTAGGAACATGTGTGTTAGGTTTTTTTTAATTCAGTGATGTAATGAATGATTTTTTTCTTTGAGAAATGTATACTGACATTTATAGATAATGAAGCATGGTATCTACAAACTCAGCTCTCAAAAATCTGCTTAAGTGTAAAGGCAGGAGTGAGCAGGGTGGAAGGCAGGAAGGGATGGTGAAACAATGTGGGTCATATATTCACTGTGCTGTGCTCCACACTTTTCTGTATGGAATTATTTCAAAGTAAATACTGGAAGAGAAGCTAGGGTGTGCTGGTTGAACTGGGCTTCAAGTAGTTTCTTGTTTGACCTTCCTATTTCTTTCTTTAATTTTGGTGCTTCTCTTCCCATTTTCTCCCAAGAAGGGCC